TATTATTATTATATATATATATATATATATATATATAATATATATTATTATAATTTTACAATTAGAGTTTTTTTTATCAATTTTATCAGGATTATGGATTAGGATTTTTTTTAGCGATCAAAAGGTAACTGATTAGCAGGAAACAACTTAGCGATTTGTCATATCAATAATGACAAATGCCGAAAAATAAATTGGGAAGCGACTGTTTGGGTAGCGACTATTATCGTTATTTTATAAGGACATCTTTGACATTTTGATATTCTCGAGGCTTTTTCTCTGTTATAAACTTTCCAGCATGATATATAATAAGGATTGAAGCAACATAGATACAGCATATTCGCATAATTTCGGTCGTCGGTCACACTGGCGGATATCCCAGCGGAACAAATTGTCCTGTTCACATTTCGTAACAATGCAATCCGTTAAAGGAACAAAATAGTAGGAAATTGTCAATCGTCAATTCAGCAAAATATTTCAAAAAAAGTCTGTAGCTATTATTTCGTTATTGATTTATATGTTCTAGTTTGTTTTTCATGAATCACAGCTTCTTTTTGCACAAATTGCTTCAATTCTCTCTCGCTTAAAATATACGTTAGGGATTTAAAAAATTAAAATTACATTTGGATTTGCACTGACAAAGAGAAACAGACTTTCGTGATGCGGAAAGGACGAGAACCGTAGCGAACGTGAAGGGAAAGTGAAAAAAAAATGACAGAAAAATTATTCAAGCTTTATTCGTCTTCCGCGAAGAATAGAATTAATTGGGTATTAATTATCGTAGGGAAAGTTGGCTGGATTACATGAGTTTCCTAGGGGATCAAAATGTAACATAAGGGATTAATAGTGTGAAGTCGACGGGACTTATTGGCGTAATCCCGCCTCATGGCGGAACTCGCCAAATTTCGCAAACAAATGAAGAACAATGACGATGAGAAATCTTAATTAATGTGCTGGCGTGACGATTGTTGACTCACTCGCGACACTTTTATTTTCGCTAGCACTCTTCTGCTTGACGTTTGGTCACACTTTGTTGCTTCAGGGACGCAGCTAGTCTAATATATTCTATTCCTGAAAATTACATGGTTCACGCTTGTTTATGGAATATTTCTTTTAGAGAAGAAATTATCATCAATTAAAGTATAAATGTCTTATTATTATATCTTTATTTTATGCCTCTAATTGCTAAGCATCTATAACTCGTTACAATTATAAAAATATCTTTTAATATTAAAGCGTTTTTTCAAAGCTTGTTCACTGCAGTGATCGTTTTATTATTACATGTACCGCCGAATGTTTGTTCTTTTACATTTTTAAATAGTAGCCATTTGTAGAATTTAATTGTTTAAACTAAAGAATTTAAATACGAGATAAACAACAAGCATATACAACAAGGCATTGCATAAAAAATGTCTGTAAAGATATTTTCAATTGTTTCAACAAAGTTTTACAATAAAAAAATCATTGTTTGTAATTTGCATTTGTAGAAAAAAAAATACATAAAATACAGATAAGAGTAATTCTGCTTCCTAATTTCTGTGCTCTTTGCAAATTTTATTGCAAGAAAGTTTCAAGTTCGTCCCTGAAGGGTGAATATGCGACAATATCCCATGCATGACCGCTATATATAAATAGGTGAAACTTGGGAAATTAGAGAGTCACTTTTGTTTTACCTCTACGTTAGAGCGATCGCTTGTCGAACTTCTTGCATCGAGCACTGGAACTGCTCGATATTCGATATCCCGAACGTTCGAGTATCAAGTGCATGGAATAAATCACACTAAAGTTGCGACGATGATGCGCGTTTTAATTATTTCCGTTGTCTTCGGTGTCTGTTGCGCGCTGGTGGAGAAAAGTGAATACGCGACGTCGACCGAACATCCGAAGAGACTTTCCAATTCGGAAGATCGACTCTTGGCAAACATCATCCGCGCTAAAAACTCGTCTGAGGAGCTGGTTCTCGATAGCATCGATGAGGAGGAAACGAAGAAATCGGATAAGAAACCGAGAACCGTCCTACATCGCGATTCGAGTGTCGAAAGAGATAAGTCAATATTATTTCAACTCGTTCGTAAAGTTCGTAAATGTAAATTTTAAATCTAAAACAGATGTGGCAGAAGGACCGATATCAAGGATCCATATTTCGTCGACTATTTGAATTATGGGGGTATTTTTTTATTTGCAAGTTCTAGTTGCTGCGGCACTAAATATGGTTCGAACGGACTAGCACGACCGGATTATGATTACAATAAAATTCCTCTGGAAAGCGGACGGTATCCCTCCCAATACAGCGAACGACACCCTATTGACAGGTAACAATAAAAGCTTTGTTTTACATAACGAAAATGTTTTAGGACGCCAAGTTCCCTTTCAGATACGGATGGCAAACCCAAGGTCGACTCCCAGGTTCTTCCATCGGAAGCGGCGGTAGACCCGGCGGAGGAAGCGGAAGCGGAGTCTACGCAGGAAGTCAGTTGGGAGACAGGTAAATTTACCCAACTTCCTACGACCATAAATTTTCCGCTAATCTCCATCGGCCTATCTGTATTAATCCAGGAGAGCTAGAAAGAGGGAAAGAAAGAAAGAGAGAGAGAGAGAGAGAAAAGTTTTTTTATGTGGAATTAAAAAAGATTGTGAAAAAAGATGCTCAAAATTTTGCAGAGTTTTTTAATCCACGAGAAAAGAAGGACACGTAATATTCCGATGTGTTAAACATTACAATTTTACTTTGTACATGATGAAAATAAAAGGTATCCACCGCGTCCAGTGTACGCAAGTGAAACTGCTAACAGACCCAGCGCTGTGGGATATGGCTTGGGGAACGGTGGAGGATATGGTTATGGTGCTAGTGGCTACGGAGGCTATGGCAGGCCGACTGGACATGGAGGTTCGTCCGGCAGCTATGGGGTTTCGGGAACATTGGCCGACGGCGACGAATTCAGTCCTGGCGAGCCGGCTTATCCGGATGGAGGCGTGTCACAGCAACCGGGAAATCTCCAGGCACAAAAGGTAATTTATATTTAAGGGGACGGATATTTTTCACAAAAATACCTTGGCCTTGGTGGCAAGGAGGTAGATAAAAAATTATATTTATTCTTTAAGGCCATAGCGTTAAAAGCTCTAGCGGGTGTCGCGTTGATCGGAGCGGCAGCGGCGTTAGCTTCAAACCCGGTACTCCTGCCAATCGGCATCGTGAGTGGAAGGAAGAAAAGGTCGGAGACTTTCTCGGAGGAGGAACAAACAGAGTTCCGAATGGACTACATCCTGTACATGTTGAGGGAAAATTTAGCTAAGGTACAAAAGAAAATTTCTGTATAATCGATCTCTTCGCGCAGAAACTTTTATCGAACGATTGCCTTCTTTTACGAGCAGATACGAAAAGATGGCTCGAGCGACAGATTGATCGTTTCTCCGAGATGCGTCGCCAGATTGACCTGCGAGATCCAAAAGGATTACCTGTCCGACCTCGGGAAGGACGTCGAGATCCTGAGTACAAATCGGAAATATCATCTTACCAATTTGTACGTAGTCTCTCCTCGATATCCGGGCACTTCGCGACGCTGTATCGATCGACTGACTGACTAACTTGCATTCTTGCAGAATACGAAACAACGTACTTAACACCAATTCTGTGAGCGCAGACGTGAAGAATTTGATCAAGCTGGCGGTCGGCGTAGCGTCGGAAAATGAAAATTGCGATATATTTACTTGTAATTATGTGAGAAAAGGTTGATTAAGACTTTTCTATAATCACACGATTGTCCTCACTCATCCACCCGTCCAATAAGAATATGCATACACACACACACACACACACACACACACACACACACACATATATAAGATAAAAATAAAATTTCTTCGTACGATTGTAGTGTCGCACTTCCCCCGGGTGAAAGCTTTCTTTGAATTTCCCTCCAAACCTTCTCCGTCCTATGAAACGTGCGCGAGATGGCGCCTCGGTCTTCTCATCTGACATACCTCCGTCTGCGGTCGCACGCACGTGACGTTGACGGAAGGAAAGAAAAACAAAGTACAACTGACGTGTCCTAATAAGAGGCCAACGTGGCAACGCGACAGTGTTTGGGATATTTGGTATGCAGATTCTACGACTGCTCCGAATCATCGCCGATCTTGTTGACTTGTGTTCCCCCGGTTATGTTTCCATGGTTGTGTGACGTGAGAGGTGAAAAAGAGAACCGTGTTTAACGTCGCGAATTGTCAGCGTCTGGCGTTTTATTCGTTCGGCGCAAAAGGTTATGTGTCCGCGATGATCGCGTCGTCAGCGACAACCCGACGTCGGTCAGCGTGACTCGCTTCATACGACGTCGTCGCCCGAGCGAATTGGATCGCCAAATCGACGCGTCATTGTCCCCCGAGATCACGCGTCTCCGCCGCCTCGTCCACGATATGCGGTGACGAGCGGGAAATTCTAACCTAACTACGGCGCCCTTAACGATCCGGCGATAACCTTGAAGGATCTCATTGTGCGGTGTGTGTGTGTGTGTGTGAACGTGGCGCGAACGCAGAGTGCTCGGTGCGAGTTGTTGATTCGATTCGTGGATGGATGTCAATATGAGGAGGAAACAGGAAAAGGAAGACCGGGTGACGGAGGATGGCACCGTTGAGTCGGGCAACGTTCAGGAGCCGTCCGATCTGCGGGGCGACGAGAGGAACATCGCAATTCTGTTATTTCTGTACCTGTTACAGGGTATCCCGTTGGGATTGTGTGGATCGATCCCCATGTTATTACAAAATAGAGGGGTTTCTTATCGGCAACAGGTATACATGGAATCAAAATGAAAAATTAGTTACTTTTTAAAAAATTATAACTTTGACTTTTTAATATATATATTTCCAAGTTAAAATTTTTTGTTTCGTTTTGTCATTGTTTTATCGTTTAAAATAAATAATTTTAAAAGATTACGACATTTTATATAGTTAATATAAAATTTTATTTTTCTTATTTTTTAAATTTAATTTTTAATTTAACTGTGTGTATGTATGTGTGAAGTTAATCTAATTTTAATTTTACAAGTAATGTTGAGTTAAAAAATTAAAATTAAAATGACTTGATTTTAATTTCGTTTGTCATTGTTCTCCCTATTAAATAATACATTTGGCAATAAATATGTTAATAAATATGTGTGTATCTAAAAGATAAAATTTTTTTATATTTTACAAAAGTAGTTGATAAGATGCAATTTTTTTACACTTATACTTTAACATCTAGAACTAATCAAATAGCATTAACAATGTATTCTATGATTAATATGAAATAATTGTAGACATGATGTAGAGATGATATAATAGATTAATTAAATATTCAGGAAATGACAAATCTTTTATATTCTTGTTAACACAGGCAGAATTTAGCTTCGTGCAATGGCCGTTTTCGTTGAAGCTCTTTTGGGCGCCTATGGTAGATTCTATTTTTTCCCAAAAGTTCGGAAGGAGAAAAACTTGGTTGATACCTACCCAATACTTGATGGGCATGTTTATGCTCCTTTTATCGAATTATGTGGACCACTGGCTCGGCAAGGAACATGAAAAACCCAATATCGAAATGTTGACTGTATTATTTTTTTCCTTGAACGTACTTGCCGCGACTCAGGATATCGTAGTAGACGGATGGGCGCTAACGATGCTCAAAAGGTACTCTTGCGAGTTATCTAAATGTGATATGTGTGTGTGTGTCCATCAGTGATATTTCCAATGCTTAATTATGATTTGTTCATCAAGGTGCAATGTTGGATATGCATCTACCTGTAACAGTGTCGGCCAAACGGCGGGCTACTTCATTGGTTACGTCCTGTTTATTTCACTAGAGTCCGCTGAATTTTGCAATAGCTATTTAAGATCAACTCCTTCTAAAGAAGGCATACTAACTCTGCCTGGTAAGAAGAGCCCAACAAGATTGTCGTTCATAGATATTTCGTCGAAACGTAACGAGTTTTATTTATAGGATTTTTATATTTCTGGGGCTGGACGTTCGTTGTTACGACAACATTTATCGCGATATTTAAACACGAGGACAGAATTTCAAAAAGCGAGGAACTAAATATGGACATTAAACATGCATATAAATTGTTGTGGGATATTGTTAAATTACCAGCTATAAAAACTACAATTATATTTCTCTTGACTGCAAAGGTCAAATATTACTAATTTATAATTATAATTTGTACAACGTAGATGTCATATTCACTTGGCTATTCCATTTTATAGATTGGATTCTCAGCGTGCGACGCTGTAACCAGTTTGAAGCTGATAGAAGGCGGTTTTCCCAAAGAAAAATTTGCTTTTATGGCTGTACCCATGATACCATTACAAATAATTTTACCATTAATAATCTCGAAGTATACCGCTGGACCCAGGCCTATGGATGTTTATATGAAAGCTATGCCTTATAGGTAATTAATGATATATGATTTATGAATGATGAATTATAAAAATTTTTATCAATACTTATGAATTGTTATGTAATATAGATTAGCTTTCGGCTTAATAGCAGCATTTTTGGTGTGGGTTACACCGTTCATTGTAATCAATGGATATGTTCCAGCTTATTATTTTGTAGTATTGATAGGTCTCTATTTTATACATCAGGTAAATGCTAAATGCTAAATGAAATATAAATTTCTTCACAAATGTCTAATTTAAACTGAATGACTGTAGCATTTCATTTATATATTTTAGATTTCTGCGAGTAGTATGTTCGTCGCGTCGATGGCTTTCTTCGCGAAAGTGAGCGATCCGGCAGTCGGTGGCACTTACATGACATTGTTAAATACTTTATGCAATCTCGGTGGAAACTGGCCCGCCACGGCCGCGCTTTGGTTTGTCGATCCTCTAACGTTTCGGCAATGCAGTACTGATTATACAAACGATTGTAGCACAATCACAGAAAGAGAGGTTGGTTCCAATGCAGGTCGGCTAAATTTTATTATGTCATATAAAGAGATTATCGATGTAAGATATATTTATTGTGTTTTTAGCTCTGTGCGAATACCAAGAATGGTGTTTGCATTATGCAGTTTGACGGTTATTACATAGAGAGCATCCTCTGCTTAATCATAGGTTTCTCCTGGCTTAGGTGGGGCCGTAGAAAAATTAATATATTACAGGCGAAACCGATGTCTGCTTGGAAAATCGTACTTACCCGTAACAACAGGTAACATATCAACACAGCGTTATAAATCCGTTAACACTGGTACCTGTAAAATTATTAGGAAATTTTCTTCAGTGCGTCAATATATATAGTGTATCTATTGTAATTCCTTTAAATCAAATCCAATTATCAAGGTAATTTATCATTTGCCTATAACAATTAATCATTGATGCTCAGTAGCTGGCTGTCATGACTGTCTATATTGAAGTAAATCAGTAATTTTGTTGCTATAAAAAAAAAAAAATTGATAAGATTTAATCCAATCTATTTAACAGTCATATGACCAATATTCCTGCAGGAATTATATGGACACACTATATATATTTGCCCATATGTGGGGCATGTGCATGCATCATTTCCTGTACGTTTACCAAGTGTTCCAGTTTCGCGAGAATGCGCGCGAGGTGAATCGATAACGATCCATTCGCCTCGAGAAGCAATGTGCTATCCATTATAAAATATATATAGTACAAGCCCCACAACAAAAGGAAAACAATATAGTGCTGTAATTTATAAATGAATAATATTCCGTGCGTATATACGATAAAAGGATTTCTAATGGTTGTCATCTTTATTTCCTCAATTCAAATTATGCGGTATGATTTAGTGATACTTAAATATTTAAAAAATATATATAAGTATATATATATATTAAACATTAGAGAAATGTTATTTATTACATATAAGAAAATACGTATCGTGACATACGTATTTTTTATTCCTTATGTATACATATATTTATTATATGATGCATATTTATTTGTATCAAATCAATCGAGTTGAATGTTTTCCGAAATGACGCATTACGAGATATGCGGAATATATTATTTTTTTACAGAGTTATTATATATCATTTGTATAAAATTTATATATGCGCGCATAAATTTGCGATTTGTTATCTCTCTGCGAGTAGTATATTGTTTCAAATAATAATATTTTGCACGGAATTATACTTACAGATATTTCATAGAAGTTTTGTAAAACAGACGAAAATATGACACGTCCGGCGCAGTTTCTATTGTAAATATATCTGAAAGTATTTTACGTATGCGTAAAGTGATGTGAATATTTAATGCAGGATGTTAATAAAAGTTTTTCATATAAAAACGTTGGAGCTGACGTACGTGTTTTTATTTCAACTTTGTTATATATCTTTCTGACGACAATATAGAGATAAACGCACAGTCACAGCCATGAAAATGAATTATCAGGTATGAACCAGTAATTAAGTATAGTCACAACTTTCTGTGGAATATCGTATCCTTGGATCCATTGTGACAATTAATGTATTACACGAGAACTATTGTACTGAGAATTAATCGCACGAGTGTACTGCATGTATTTGTATTGTTGCATTATAATGAGTTCATAATTTTGATGCATAATTTCTTTATATCTAGATGCAAGAATCGATTTTCAGTAATTGATGATAAGAGCGGAAATCACTCTTTAGAAAATACTTTTGTAAATAAATATATGGACATTTTTAATCTCTTGAGATGATTCCCATGCAAGACACGTCTCTGAACCACGATACTAATAACGATCATAGCGGAATATAACATCTATATGTTGCTTTGGAGAATTGCATTATTAATCTATATTTGTCATTTGTTTTTACATTAAAAGGATATAAATGACTCTTAATAAATAAATTTAATTCGCATACTAAACTATACGTCGTTTAAGCATGCCTTTTGTAGCGTCTTAACGATATCTATCGTTGACACATTGATATATTATTGTATGAATACTTTCCACGTAACACCATGCGATTATATTTGTCACGCACAGTACGTATGTACATAATACACACGTAAATTATAGATTGTAAACGATAATACACATTATCTCACGCAAATCGTATATATTATATATAGATATAATATTCTCGGTATCAGAATAAATTTTTTTTTCGCGAAGAGTGTGGCGCTCTAATTTTATCTTCACGACTTTACTGTTAATTCTATTGTAAATCGATTGGTGAATCAAAAACAGATAATACACACTTTTATTTATAGATTATCTTGATTTAAATGCTTACAGTAATGTGAGTAAGTTTATTGTGAGATTCTGAATCTTTCACTATTTTTGCGATAAATCTATCCATTTCCGTGACATAATTTTAGATTCAACTGAACGAATACAAATTTATGTTGGAATATAAATTATTAACAAATTTTAATATGATCAATGACGTTAGTTGGTCATTTTACCATGACAGAATATTTTTCATTGCTATCGTATCCTTGATCAATGTCTAGCCTAAAATGAAACTACGTAAAATGAGAGAAATGATGAATCTCGTGATTAATTTGTGTGTAATAAAATGTACAATGAATAAAATAAGTTACATTTCTTTCCGAGTTCGTTAAATACATATTAACAACGCTAAACACAATGTTTTAATATGACGTAATAATGTGACAATAATAGTCACGTAAAAAAGGAAGAACGATAATGTTTTATTGATCGTGATAAGAAATAAAAGCACGATCTTTAAAATTATAGAAATTGTAGACAAGATAAAGCTAAGTACCAAAAACAGTTGTTTGTACCAGACAAAACTTTCTCAAGGAAATTCTAAGAGATGCACGAGCTAAAACGTTCTAAGATCGGTATTTACAAAATATAATTCACGTTCAAACTTTGGATGTCAAGCAACGTGTGTATAATGTGGAGCCGCCGAAATAGGAAATGTGGCAGAAAATTAGTATAAATAAAATACACGCAGAATATAGATTTTATGTATAAAATATTAACACATTGCGGCATTTGAATAGCCGAGAGCATTGATCATGCATTAACATTAGAATTAATAAAAATTGTTAAATATTAAACGCACATTGTCCTGTATTTTTATGCGTTGCATGCAGTCTTACGTCACGTATGATCTTTCGTTGTTAATAGCTTATATAAATGTTATTTCAGTTATTAAAATTTAATTTATTTCCGCGGCTCCACTGGCAAGTTGGATAATGAAAATAATTGATAAAAATATATATTTTGTTTCTAGTCAACGAGATCTCTTTCGCTTAAAATAGGTGTTTTGTCATTTTTCGGACTAACTCGCAACGTAGATCCCCATTTCGTACCTTTTTCAGCTTCGGACGTGGCCATTAAAACGGAATATGAGTTTGGAATAGTGGTGGCTTCTTTGCTATAATGAATGCCGTACAGAAAGTAAATCATCATTCCTGAGAAAGAGGAGAAATCGGATTAGAAATCGAATAGAGAATAGTGTACAGTTCGGTATAGTGTACAATTCTGCATTTGGAATTCGCATTTATTAGATGTCATAATAATCAACTTACCGACTATCATCCAAACGACAAATCGTAGCCACGTCATTGGAGACAAGTGCATTATCAGACTCACATTGAAGAGAATACTTAATGCCGGTATCAGCGGCACCAGCGGTACTCGAAACTTCCCGTTGGGTGGATTTTGCCTATGAGCGCTAATCACGAAAATACCTACCGAATAAACAAACAAATACAGTTAAGAGCAATATTCCTTTCGAAAATGAAAAAAAAAATTAAAGATTAAACTTACTCGCGATGAGTACCGGAAGATAACTTGCCGCAAGGAGATAATCGCTCTTCGTGAACGGGACTGACGATTCGAACACTATTATCATAAAAGTACTGAGGAAAGCGCAGGTCGTCGTGTAGATAAGTAGACAAGCAATTATGACATTTCGTGTATCGCAGTCCTCTAGCCACTCTTCCAACCAGGCGTATCGTGGCTTGAATCTGCCAGGTCCCTCGCACAACAGCTGCAATTCATTTTAATAATTAATCATCAATCGATAATTTATAAGAGTTGGAAATCGCCTGATGTAACATCATCGCATTTACAGAATATTTCTTCGAGATTGATGTTTTACAAGAACAAAATATTTCCAAGTTGTAAGTTTTTATTACAAAATGAGCAGGTAATAAACGAGCAGAACAATGACAATATTCTCTCCAAAATTAATGAAATTTGGACGTAATATCAGGTATTTTAATAAAGGAAGTGGTGCACTTACTTCCGATTTGATGGACGCGATGCTGCTGGAATCCGCTTCTTCCGTAGGTGGCGAGGAACAACTGCTCGGCGTACCGACGTTGGACCGATCGGCTGGCTGTTGCTCGGGTAAATACCTCAGCAGGATAACGCTGACCGCGACGATGGTGTACGCGAGCAGAGTCCCGATCGACATGAACTCCACCAGATGTTGGAGATCGAACACTAGAGCGATTAAGGCACTGAGCAGTCCACTTATGATGAGATTGCACACCGGCACTTGCGTACGCTCGCTAATACGGCCGAGGAAGCCGAACAACAGACCGTCATTCGCCATGGAGTACATCGTCCTCGGGAGGGAGAACAGAGATCCGAAAAGGGTAGTCGTCATGCCGCAAAGAGCGCCCACGCTACAAAATCCATCTTCAATTAATACGCCGTGAAATTAATTCAATTATCATTTACTGTGATACGACATCTTTTCTTCTTTTTTTTTTTTTTAACAAAAATATTGTCAGCGGCGAGATTATAATTTTTGAAGCTAACGTGTTATATTCTTTTTTAATTCGATTTCTCTCGATACCGTTATGAGATAAAAATGAAATGAAAAAGAAAAACGCGATATCTATGGCGCTTTCATTTTTATTGATATCATAAAGGGATTCCAGTGGAAGACAGTCTGTGCTATAAGTTTATTATAAACTATTATAAATTCTTTGAAAGAAGCGCAGGAAATGTGTTCGTCCACCTTATTACATATTTCGCCCACGGGATGCCCCTGGACGAAAAGGCTTCCGGAAGTGCGGCGGTGGGATTGATCGCCCAATACGGCACGACCAGCGTCAGGGCGCCACTGACCAACATGTATCCGATAATTACTATCGCCATCGAGAGTAACGTCGCCAGCGGGATGCTGCGTCCTGGATCGCGAGCCTCCTCCCCAGAAGTCGCGATCGAATCGAAGCCGACGTAGGCATAGAAACATGTCGCCGCGCCTGAGATCAATACGTCAAAGAGGTTTCAATTGGCTTGTTTTTGGCAGCTGAATTTTTAGCTAGCGCAAACAGCGTACATTTTAAATGAAATTAGAAATTATATATTTGAAATTTTTGAAAACGAGATGGAAAGTTTTCAGTGCAGGAACGGAAAATAAATCTAATATCTTCGTTAGAGTGATCGCGAGGCTACTTCAGGGATCGTTTCCGCGTTTGCTTAAACGAGACGATGAGACTCACCCGTGATTATACCGCCGAAACCGTAAGGCAAAAAGCCACACTGGCTGCTCCAGTTCTCAATGTCCGCGTAGTAAATACCCAGAACGACGACCAGTCCCATCACCGCGAGATTAATGAGGGTCAGCAACGAGTTGACCGTCGCCGAGGCCTTCACCCCTAATCCCAAAAGCATCGCGTAAGCCAGGCATAATCCGCTAGCCAGGACATCCGGGATGGTGCACAGCGGCTCTCCTATGATCCATCCGCTTATCATATCGCGAGTATAGTTGCTGATCGCACCACCTACCAAGGAATCTACATATCCACTCCAAGCCCTCGCCACGGATGCCGCGCCTAATTAACACGAGAAAAAGTTGATAAACTTATCTTTAATCCGAGCTTATCTTTGATCTCTCCTCTTCGATCTCCTTATTGCTAATTAAATATTTGACCCGTTGACCGTCAATCCTAGTTGGACTTTTTCTCATTTCCCCATTCTCGCCGGTAAGGTTTCTTCTTGAGGGATTTTTTTTCTACAGAAATCCGTACCTATCATGTGCTCCAGGATGAGGTTCCATCCTACGATGAAGGCCCAGAATTCGCCGACGCAGACGTAAGTGTAGACGTACGCGCTGCCCGCCTTTGGTACGCGGGCGGCGAGCTCGGCGTAACAAAGCGCCGCTAAAATGGAGGCAAAACCGGCCACGAGGAAGCTGAAGATTACCCCAGGTCCAGCGATGTCACGCGCGACCGTTCCCGTCAGCACGTAAATCCCGGCGCCGACCATATGACCCACGCCTGAAAATCCGATTATATAAGATTGTGATTGCTTAGACCGGGGATTCGGGGAGCGCGCTATTAGCGCTATCACATCATTTCATTTTTTATTGCTCATTATATGTAAATTAAGGATAGAATGATGAATGATGAATGCGACAGTTGTAATAGCGCGCTCCCCGAACTCCTTAAGCCTTAATATTTACATTCCAGAGAACATTATATGTCCCGATTTAATTTGCTCTTTTTATCTTTTTCTAATTTGTACAATTAAAAAAAAAGAAAAAGATAAAAAATAAATTAAGTCGAAATTAACATCAATCTATCGATCGATCCTACGAGTATCGAGCGGTCCATCCTGACTTTCTAAAATTTGTAAAATAATATATTTTTTTCTCATTAAAAATAATTCTCTTAAAATTAAGAACGCGATTTGAATGAATCTCAACTTGTTAATTATTTTTTATCCCGAATATGGAATATCAAAGTCAGAAAATTTGAAAATCCTGATTCTGATGGACAAAAATATTAATTTTAAAAAAATGGCCCCAAAAAAATATATATATGTCATATAATATAAATATATATAAATATATAACTACTTGGTACTTCTTCTATTAAAGATATCTTCGAGACGTTTTTTATGCGTGTTGTCTGGATATTAATTATCGCATTACATTAATTTCGATCTAAGACGTAATGCCCGACTCTACTGTTATTTCTTATTAATAATCCATTGACTAACACAGCATATCTCACTCAAGGCTATTATTATTCCGGATTATTACGCTTATCAACGTCGCGATAATGCGCGCGTGTAACGTGCAAGTTGCATTATCGCTCACGCGCATCGTACATAAAAAAACAATCACACCGCAGTAAAATGCGTCGAAATATTTATTTTCTTCTTTTATGATTCCATTCCCCTTGATTTGTTCGAGTCGCCGGAATAATCGGAAAAGTATATTCACCGAGCAACGTGATGTCGAAGGTGGAGAGACATCTCTTCATCGGAGTCTCCAGCATGTCACCCTCCAGCTTCTTCCGACGGTTCATCTTGCTGTACAAGCCGGATATAACGTGGCCGAGGATCATCCTGCGAACCGACGGCATAACGACGGATTCTGAAACGGAATTGCAATTTCTCGGCTCATCGATATCTTCTTAAACCACGAGAAAATCCTCCTGCCCGGCCGAAGGAGGAGACGATCGTCCAACTGACGCTCTTTAAGTCGTCACGAGTATACACTTTCATTCGAGTCGAGAGAATCCAAGAGCTGGATAAGACGCACGATAAATCTCGCGTGAAGCAAATGTTAAGTAAAAATAAATGAAAATCGATAATGCAAAAATTTGTCATATGGTGTGCCGACACAATATGTCACGGCGGGTGACAGGTAGCCGCGGCGCTCGTCGAACATCACGCGCACGCACACGCACTTTCGCGTCGGACGATCGATAAAAAAACGATCCTGGAGTATCCCCAAGGACACGTCGAGACGTAGCGGAACGTATTCGCGGCATGGTCGTGCGTACTTACGTTGTAATTACACGGACATTCGAGGACGAAATCGTCGACTGCGTGCTCTACCCGTGATGAACCCGTGCACCCGCGATAGATGCCGAGGGGGTGTATGGCTCGCGATATAAAAGGATAAGGGATGTAATGTTGCGCCGCGAATGCGCAATGGACGACCAATCAGAAATCGGTCCCAGATATTAAAAAGCAATAATGCAGCTAATATTAATATAGCTAAAAATAGAATAAGAGAATTAAATGAGCGGCCGGAAGTAAATGGAGAATCTTTCCCAAATCTTTTTTTTTCTTTTATTTTCATTTTTGATAATTGAAGGATTTTTATTTCTGGATATATTTGTTTCTTGATTGGTTTTTTTTTAAACATTTATCTCACATTTTTAACCCGTATCTTTTATATCATTTTTTACCACGTTTCGATCTGAAATTAAAATCTCGGAAATTGATAACGTAACAGAGAAATATAAATAGAAAGTAAAGAGATAACACGAAATACGATATTAAAAATTTTTAGAATTTCATATGGGTTATTTAAAATTAAAAATTTAGAATACAAGAAAACACAGATAATATATGAACATTTCTTGGTCAAGCAGGATCACTTAATCTTATTCTTTTAATTTTTATAAACGTAAGCCTACCTTTGCTAGAAGTAAGACGTATCATAACTTTTACTTTTATCACTTTTACTCTCCTGCTGTTTTTAAAAATGTGGATGTGTTCGAAAATCGGCAAAAGTAGGAGGCAGGAACTGGGGATGCAGGGCAGGAAAAACCAAGAGGCCGAGCATTACAGTTTCAAAAAAAAATTCGATAAATTTTATAAATCTTATCTTTTTATCGTCTGTATTGTAATATGAAAAAAAAAGAAGCTATGGTCCTTACGATTAATACAGTCGTGTGATTCGCGAATATATGTTTTGACACGACGCGCACGCCCCGCGAGTATCGCGCTCCCACACACCTATCACTTGCTCCGATATTGACGCGGTTGTTCCTTTGGCGCCTTGTTTACTATTCCGGCAAGTACCGCGATCGTAAATCTCTCCAGCGAGAAACGCGTGACAGTTTCCTGGAAGGGAGTCCCCGAAGGTCCAAAGACCAGAAAATCAAGAACGAGACGACGGAAGAATTTCCCCCTCCCTGTCCCCCTCCCCTGTCTCCCTTGGCGCCGATAAAGGGGACCGATACTGACCGATAACTGACCAGCGTCTCGTGCGTATGTGTGTGTGTGTGTGTGTGTGTGCGCGTGTATGTGTGCGAGCAACGTGTGTTTCGATCGATTTTGATCAAATGCCAAATGTAACATTCTGAGCTCCCGTTCGTGTCGCGACACATTCCGATGTTGGTCTCCCGAAATTTTGCGTAGGTTGAGGTTAGAGCGAGCGACTCAGGTCGGCGCCGTTGCGGCGTAATATTGCGCCTCGGGGAAAGTCAGTGGATCAGTTTCGTCTTCCATCACTTTCATTTATCGGAAAGAAATGGCGAGAATGCCTGGAATCTGATCTGCAGACGAGATCGGAGTAAGTCGTGTCTAGTCACACACGAGGTTCAGGCTAGATTTAATGTCAACGTAACGCTCGTGGACAATGGACGGAGAGGATTCCGTGGACGTGGACGTGGACGTGGACGTGGACGTGGACGTGGACCCACGGGAGCTACAGGAGACCCTCCAGACGTACAGGAAGCTCGCAGACGATTTCGCGAACCACGACACGATTCTCAAGGTAGGTGCTCGGATTTATCAAGCACATTTCCAAACAGATTTCGCAGTGTAGAGTTTGTCAGCAACAATCTGTTAACGGATACATATGATCGTTTGCATGAATCATAGAGAATCTGTTGTCATCACAATAATTTGATAATATGGCAGCAATACTAATAATAATAACTGTTTAAATAATCATAGATTCAGTGCTGCTTGGTTTCATAATCTCAGATTATAAATCTGTTTTATTATAACTAAACTAGTATACATTTGCAGTATTTAAAGTAAAATATTTGTAATTTGGCGAAAGTGAGAAAAAAATTCCAGTGCAGTCTAATACGGCGTTAAAAAATAAATTTAAATTTAATGCAGATGCGGTTGATGTTATAATATTATGTTTTGAATGTCTGCTGGCAAACTGCTAACACACTGCTAATATTTTATTGTTATATTATCATTGGCTGATTGCTTTATCTGTTGCAGGACAAAACGGTCTTATCGTACATAGCGTATGTTTTGGAAGTACCTGACTTAGATGTGGTTACCTTAGCTCTAGACATCCTGGAGATATTTGTAAAGAATGTAGATAATTATATACATATAACATCTACATTCGGCATACGTGAATCCTTAGAGGCGATTATCAATAAATACAGCTTGAGCGAACCAAAGATAGCCAGTCATGCACAGCACATCAAAAATGATATAGAACGCATGAAACCACCTATATATAACTTACGCAGTCGTTGCAGACGAGTTATAGAGCCTAAAAAGTTGAAGACGCATGTAATAGTTTTACATGTTCAAGGTTTATTACCAGTAAGCTATAGATTGTTTTTTGATTTATTTCAATCGCTATCACATGAGAAAGTAATTTATAAAAATAGTTGTATATTTCATTGAAAGAGTGTAATAATGTAATCAAAATAATTAGGAAACTCGCGCCGAGTTGGAACGGATATTAATAAGAATTGATGGTCTCGTTTCGCTTGTTGTCGATGTAGAGCATCAGCGTGTAACTATGCGCACCTTGAATTACGTTACTGCGAAACAGATCGCGGAAGCGATTGATAAAAATACAGATAACATGGAAGCGAGATTGGTTACAAGAAATAAACTTAATCAAGAGTTTCTCGTGAAATTGGTATGGAAGAATTCTTATATCTTTTAAGCCGATTTATAAATCGAGTTTGTTTTTTTTTAATTTTTGAAAAGACTAATTTTATTAAATTAGTCATAACACATTAGTGTTTTATAAAATTACGAGTATGGTGAACTTCTTCCAGATACAAACAGGCGATAGCGACGGTGAAGAAATGCCTGATTATTTGCCCGAGGAGGAGGAAGAAGATGACAAGGAGGGAGTTGTGTCACTATTCACTGGTTTAAAACAAAGCGCTTCATCTCTATATAAATCTACCGCAGAATTTTTAAGTAATTCATTCTATTGGTAGAATTTTTAACTGTAACGGAGATTGTTGTGATTGTTGTAATTACAATTTTATTTATTCAAAATCACAATTGTTTGTTTGTCTCTTCGAAGAAGGGTTAGAAACAATCCGTGTGTATAAATAGAATATATAATCTCAATAGATATATATCAAAGAGAAAGACTTATTAAGACATAAATAAATTTTTTAATTTTTTAAGTAGCAATGATCGATCAGTTCTGATTGTTTAAGAATCTCACACTCATAATTGACAATAGTCAAAGAGAGTAACAGAGAATTGATTTTTAAAATTTATTATGAGTAACACTTTTTGTATTGACACTCTTTGTGTCTCGATAGAAAATTAACATGTACAAATAGATCTCCAAGTTTTTACGTCTATATTTGTAAAGAAGAGTATGTACGTTTTACATATACAAAATTAGCTTTCTTATTTTTCATATTTTAACATGCATGCTTTATCCTAATCTAATGTGTGTGCATAAAACAGTTATGTATACACATGCAGATCCTGTTTATTACGATCTCAAATTTCTAAACAAATTCTAATATGTACATAAGCAAATTCCAATATGTGCTACATACCGCACTAGAAATCTAATTACCAATCTTATACAAACGAGACATTTTATTGTAAAAGCTTGTAACGTAAAAAATGTCATTAGATATAGATATTATATATGCGATATGACGACATTTAAGCTTTTGCAATCAAATAAAAATAAAATATTCTAATAATTTAATTTTATCTTTTCTTACCGCTTAATAAGTTCGTTACATTGATTGAGAAATTGGGTAAGGAATTAAATTATAAAATGTCATGTAAATCAACTTTATTTTATGTATAACACAAATTTTGTGTACTGCTTCTATTATTATATAATAATAGAACTAGTCAGTTTTTTAGCTGCCACTGCACAAAAAGGAACAATTTATGCATCTACTCGCATAAGTATGATGGATACAATACGTATGATTACTACAAAGTACATCTTTCTCTCTATTTATAATATGCCTCGTAAATTATCTCGTTCAGATGAGCACATCAAAATTGTTACTCTATCTTAATTTTTACGCTTATCCGCTAAGTTCCCGTTGTATTGTCTATATTTACAGATACAGATGTATATAATTGTCATTAAGGCAATTTGAGTTTCAAAGCAGGTACAATAGATGGATGCAAAACATCATTTCTTTCCTGTAATTGAGTAAACGAAATAGTTCGTAGACATGTGTGTGAAAAAAATAGAGAGATAGAACTTATGATAATTATTAGTACCGGTAGTTCGTGGAATGAGTATGAGGCTCGCGTGCAGCCCAGTGCTATTATAGAGCTTCGTTTTGAAACTCGAGTAGCCTGCATCACGTTTGACTATTTCACGCAATACAACTCACTTCTTAAACTATATATGTATATATAAATGCTTAGGCTGAAATCAATAAGTACATAGTCACTATAAGCTTACGCTCTTTGACTCTTGTTGGCTGTGAAGTAAAAAAAATTAAGTTTCTTACGTATGAGCATATTTCTTGAAAAATACATACAATGGTATCCCGTACCGTCCTATTATAAATATAATAACTTCCGAAGAAGGGAGTTTTGCATTTTTATACTTTATCTTTTCTTTCATTTCTTTTTTTGCCTAACATCTTCGTATCCATAATATATTGCAAATATAAAAGACCGTACAGGTACAACAATATCTTTCAATACATGCTTCAAAGACTAAATTGCATATTATTATAATTTTATATTATTCTAATTTTCACTAGACACTTCAACGCGGTCGATGCATGCAAATTGCCATAGGCACTTATGTCATAAAATTTATTTAATTCGTTATCGTTACGTTGTACATTCTATTTTGTTTCGAGAGATTTATTTAACTCTTTCTTTTTTTTCTTTAAGAGAATGCATTTAAACTGTGCATGTATTTAATATCATTAGCTAGATGCTTTCATAACTATGAAAGCATCTTACCTTTCACACCTGCCTTTCCATTTCGTCAAAGATAAACACATAAGCGGAGAAACGTGGACTTGAAGAGTTGTTGACTGCCTGCATTTTTCAATAAGAATTATTTCTATGGCAATGGGTATGCACAGTTTCAAATTTGTGACTTAAAGTACATAGAAAGAATTGTAAACGCGAGACATTAAATGTCACGAAAGAAATAAATACATGATTCTTATCTGTCGAGTACACTCGGCGTCATATACAATTTAACATTCTGGATGACAATGATTATAGCGAGTGTTAAGGCGTATAAGAACCTCCGACATACGTAGCGATTCCGAATAATATTAATACAATCATAACTGCATCTGCAAATAATATCCTTCGAAGCAGTATTTAGATTTGTTGAACGAAAATTACATTATACATTTAGATTCACGATCTTACGTTGTACATGCTATAAAACATGTTGCGCATAACTCAAATAAACTTGAGCAATATTAATGACTTTTCAGCAATTTATATATGCGACTGATTAAATATTGATTAAGAATATTTTCGAAAATTATTTGGCTTTAATAATCAATCGGGATATAAGTCGCAAATTTTCGAATTATTTCGAATTATTACCAAATCAATAATTTTCTAAATAATATTACATACTTTTTAATATATGTATGTATACATGTGTATATATGAAAATGTATGTGGATGCAAGTATACATGTATATATGTATGTATGTATGTATGTATGTATGCCATTATGTATGTGTATACATATACGAATAGACAAATATCTACAATATTTAACATAAGTTACAGAATGAAGGATGATGTGATTACTGAATTTCACTTAGGCAGTAACTCTATTTTATAAACCATTCATAAATCAGATATAAAAATTACACTAATAACTAATCTATACTCGACTCTCCATCTTCATAGATCCACTCGTTGGTTGAGATGCAATTGTAACTTCACTGACTTCATCCGTTTCCGATTGACTCGATGTGTCAGAAACGTCGTCTATTTCCTTTCTCTAAATATAGATTAAATGTATGTTTTTTTTTAATTTATGTGTCTTATGAAATATGTTATTATTTGTAAAATTTGATTATAATCCTCGAAAAGAGACGAACAAGTTAGAAAAAAAATTTTGAAAAACGTACTGTAAGATTGCTTAATATATTTATTTATATTTTCTTTTCAATATATTGTGATGTAACAAATTTAAAAATACATAGGATAGAAACAAATATATTGTTCGAGTTACTTACTTTTTGGGAATGATGTATATTACGAAGAACTCTTTGAACATCCGGATTACTCTCTAAGGTGGAAGTCTGACTGGACGGAGGATGAGAATATTCAGAAGTATTTTCCTCATCGGAAGCTAATGCTCCCTGTATTCTGCCGGATGTTGTTAATTTAGATCTTCGTAATCTGCATCCAGGACCAATTGGTCTCCTGGCAATACTATATAAAATTCGACAAAATATAGTCACAATATAAATTATTTATTATTAGAAATGCAAATCGAAATATCTGTTAATGCTTCTGTTCAAATCTTTTTGTAGAAAGATATTCATATTATAAAATCTTGCAGCGATTTTTTTAAAAATTTGAAAAAATTATTATTCAAATTTTTTTGAATTTAAAATATATTTTTTTAATTTCTGGAATATTAGATTGTGTAGTAACTCTTAATTCTAAATATATATAGATGACAAAGATGACTAAAGAATATAAAATACATATATTATGTTATATAAAATATTATGTTTACTATTCATGACTAAAACGTACCTTCTTCGTCTCAAAGAATAATTATAGGTATAGCTTGGATCCTCTCCCTCTTCATCTGACCAGCTTTCTTCACAAGCATCGTCTTCGCGATCATCTGTATTGTCTGAAGATCGTATTTTAATGTCTGATTGTTCCACATAGTGCCCAGATAACTTGCTCGAATCTTCTTTATTTCTACTGTAAAAGTTTAATTACAAATACTGAATATATCTAACAATATTAATTCTTAAATGATATAATATTATATAATATTAAAACATTCTAATTTTGTTAAATTATTTGAAATTACTATTTAACTAAAAACAGAATAAAATAGATTTTTAAAATAAAATAACTTTTATTTCAGGCTTAATTGTAAGTTATATTCTTTGAATTCTAAATGATATTACCAAATTAGTATAAACGCTACTGACTTATTATAATACTTAAGAACAAATTATATGATAAAATAGTTTTGCGGATATTATACAATACCTGTGGGAGATAATGACGTCATCGCCATTTCCATTGTCAATGATAAGACGATTCGCATTAATAATTTCGCTGACTTTTCTGCCCAGAGTCTCAAGATTGTCGTCGTCGCTGCAATCCTTTAAACGTTCGTTTCCATTGGTGTTATTTTCATTTAAATGTTCAGGACTAGAGCATGAACTAGTTTGCATCGGATAGTGCGTCTCCGGCAAAATTGGATTACCATTTAAGCATTCCGTCGCTTGCTTATTCAATGAGTGTCTTCTCACGAGATCCAAAGAAGACTTTTCTGGTAAAGAAAGTATTATATTCGCTACTGAGGTATGATCCGTTTCATTGATATCCATGATATCCGTTTGCGTATGACTATCAACGAATCTTGCAGGTACTTCTATACTCTACAATTAAAAACCATATATTATTATCATATATGTCCATATTATCGTTAATAGAGATAAATAATAAATATTACTAACATAAAATATTAATTATTCATTTATTTTTCATCAAAAATTTAAATTTAAAAATAAAATACATATGACTAAAAAGAATTAATAGGAAGCTGATGAAAATTATTCTTAATTATTTCTTTATTTATCATAGATTATTGTCTTTACCTTTCTTTCACGATGAGGACTCGATCTAGGACTGGAACTCAGACCACAACCCGAACCAACTCTACGATGCCTGTATTTACGCTGTTTGAAGCTATTGCTAGACGCTAGAATAGTTTCCGGTTGATTCGATTCGTTTAGCTGCGTACACATAGTAGCTTTGACGGGGCTCTGTGGCGAATCCGTAGGCGATGGTGGAGTGGTAGGCGTCGAAGAAGTAGAGAACTGTACGGTGCCGTTCCGTCTGCGGTACAGCCTTTCCTGGGCTTTCAATAAAGGACGGACAAGACGTTTCTTGTACTGCTTATATCCTGTTGATTGCTGTTCTCTCCTGAGACAAACCAGACATTTATTTCCAAATGTGCGAATTTGGCTGCGGTCTTGTACTATCTGTCCCGTAAGTGCAAAGCGGTTATGCAAAGCGATACAGCGTCGTCTATTTAAAGAAATGCAGAATATAACACATTACATTTCTTAACATAATATATTCCAATATGCATATATACAAAATAAATCTTTTATTTTAACGATATATATTATAATATGGTATTTTTCTCACTTTATCACATCTCGCTCGCGTAATTCTAATTGCAGTAGAATGGCATTCAGTTCTAGGTATAAATTGTTAGTCCGTTCAAGTTTGCGCTCATAGTGTTCTCTGACATCTTGAGCATGTCGCAATTCATCCTTCCTCCGTTGGATTAATTCAGCCTCGAAACGTGGATCGGTATTAGTAAATAGCGGCATATGCTGCATATGTTCCTGTATTTCTTTTTTCCAAGATTGCTGCAGTCAAAAAAATTTCGTTTATAGATATGAAATAAAAATACTCTTCTGTATTGCTTATTTAACAGACATCTTGAATAGTGTTTATTATTCAAGCAATCAAGCTTAAATTTATAAAAATTTACATTGTGCTAATGTCGGAGAAATTAATAATGGTCTTACCTGTGCCTTAAAGTAATCGTCGGGTTCTGTGGAGAGTACATCGACAGCTGCGATGGCGAGATGCATCTCGATAAGTTTAAAGGAAGGCCTGTTACGTGGTTTAGCTGACCAACACTGCTTAACTAACAGTCCATAACCCTCGGGACAACTGGTGGGAATCGGCAAATGAAGAGAATTGCTGCCCACTCCCCACATAACAGCCGAGGAATCGACATCCTTGTAAGGAATTTCACCGCTCAGTAATTCCCATAGTACGACGCCATATGACCATATGTCCACCTTCTCCGAGCACGGTTCATTTCTAATTACCTCCGGCGCCATCCATGCCACCGTACCGGCAAAAGTCATTTTCGTGCTAATCTCGTTCCATTGTCTACTCGTGCCAAAATCACTGATTTTCACTATTTCTCCTTGTCCTATCAGAACACTATAAATATAATTTTCTCGTTATTCTATAATTATTTGTAAGTCTTGTAGCTGTCTTTTTATTATAAAGGATTGTTTTATATCTGTATATATGTAATTTTTAAAATATCTGTGTAATTAATCCTAAATTTTTAGAAATATTTATATCTACTTGAAATTAATTTAAAAAATCTTTATCAAGTTTTATATATTTAAATTTATACATCTGAAATTTATTAAAGTAATTAAAGCTTTTTACTTTAAGTTATTTATAACTCAATTTATTTATAATTCAGTTTATTTATAACTCAAAAAATAATAGTCAAATAATAATCTCTAAAAATCACAGAATGTTTAAGATAGACATTAGATCATGATTTTATTTTATTATTTATCATTTATTTTATTTTTTGCTTACTTTGGGCTTTTGAGATCTCTGTGTATGATTTTGTGAGCATGAAGGTACGCCATCCCCGCAGCAATTTGTTTTGACCATGACACTAATCTAGCAGGAGGAACCGGTTCTCCAGCTCTCAGAAGGTCGTACAATGGTCCGAACGGACAAAACTCCATTATTATGCAATAGCAAGGAGGTTTTGTACACACTCCTCTGTAAACATCAAGTAAACATTTAATAATGAGCGTTTTATAATACAACCTGTATCGCAGTAGTGTAGAAGAAATAAAAAGTCTCACTTGAAGTGTACAATGTTCGGATGATTGAGCTTTCGCAAGTGGCGTATGTCAGTCTCTTTCGGTTCTTTCACCTTTTTTACAGCTACTATTTCTTTATTTAATTTCCCACTAAATACTGCACCTTGAGCCCCGGATCCGAGCCACTGTAGCTCACTAATTGCTTCGAAGGGTATCTCCCAATCGTCTGCTAAAAAAGGCAGTTCGTCTAAACAGCGACTTATAGAAATCTCTTCGAAATTACGATTATTTCAGGCGTTCGAAGCAAGTAATCACATTCATAAATTCTATTTTAAGACATACGGTTAAGGCATACACATGTGCAAAACTGATCTTGCAGATTTAAAGCTTTAATTGCTTTGAACGCCTTTTGAAAAACAATCATAAGGAACAATAATTATCGACAACTGTTGACCGTTAACTTCTACTGCGCATAAAATACAAAAACAATTTATATATACAAAATATTCAAGTTTCTCAACGCAATGCAACTTAATTTGAAAAAAAAAAAAAAGGAAAAATAATAGGTAAAAAAGCCGTATGGAAACTTACATAACTTACTTGAAAGACCCTTGATCTTCTCGTTAATAGCAGCCTTCGACAGCATGGTCCAGACGGGACGCATGCACCCTAGTATGCCCTCGACCCAACTCGATCGTTGAGAATCGATGCTTTCCGATCCGGTGGCGCATTTCGTTGCGGCGTCGCTGGAGTTACTTGCGGAATTGAGATGATTACTATTAGGTAATTGGACCTCTCGCAGCTCGGTGATTAGCCGTTCGGGGCTTCCCGCGATTTCACTCAGTTGTGCCAGCTCCTCTTGGATGCAGAGCATGCTGAAATTTTACATATAGATTACTAGTTGGAAATTTTCGATGACGCTTATTACGCTCATACACGCTATCGCAATACATTACGGCAATGCCCGGAATGAGGTGCAAACAAACATCGGAGACAAAGGATTCAAATTAGCCGTGATAAAATTTCAATGTGTGCAGAAGGGCGTGTGTGTTCGCAAACAAACGATTGAAGCTCGCGATTCAGACAATGGGAACAGTATGCGGAATTAATTGCGAATTAATAAATTAGTTCCGTTTCCACGTGTTATGTGTGTTTGTTCCTCGGTTCGCGTTCTTTAAATGTTCGGGGATCGATTACAGTAAATATATTATTCGTAGCAATCCACGTTTATCTTTGTCATATACTACACTTATATTTATTTTATATGGAATCATATACCATTCACATATCTTATCAAGCACGCCTCAAGAAAAAAGATTTGATTTAATAAATGCTAAAAGTTATCCAATAAAAAAAAAAATAATGCAAAATATTAAATGTTTATAAATTTCAATCAATTTATAATAAATTTTAAGAAATGTACTTTAAATCTCTTTTAAAAATTTATATATTTATTTTATTTTATTATATTATTATACCATATCTTGTAAAAATATATAAATCTCTTTTCTTCTCTATGCCTAATTTTTAAAAATCTTTTAATTTATTTTGTTAATGTCTCTCTTGCATGTTTTCTTTAACAAAACAGTTTTTAAACCGTGCAATATAATATAATCAAAGAGAGTTTATTTTTGCAAAACATATCGCAAATGAAAAAAATAATCAAGCCAAGAAAAAGAGAGCTTTATCTCGATGTAAATTACATTGAGAATTATTGACGAAAGGAGAAACCAAAAATTGCAAGTAATTTTATCTTTATATGGTCCAATGAACGATAAGAAACGTGTCATACGTCATGCCGGCGATATCAATTGCCAAATAGTCTTACGTTGAACATTCAGTGATGGATTTTCGATTAGATGCAAACGTGAGTCTAGATATCACAGGAAATTCCAAATTAAATCGCACCTATAAATTTCAAAATATCAAAACGGTTTTTATCAATACTCGATGCATTTAACGTTGTTCGATACGTAAACAGCTACATCCGTGTTTAATTAAAAATCGCAAGTCTTTAAATTATCAATGTAAAATGTAAGTATCGATCGGTATAGCTGTAGAACTATGGCAATACCATTGTCTCTGAAGCCATAAAGAGCCATTTTAAATAAAAAAAAAATTGTATATATTACTCTTTGTGTATATATTACTTTATATTACTTTTTTATAATACGTTATTTTAATGTTACCCACTCAGTGTGTTGATGACATTTGTATCGAAAATATCGAATGTTTATCAGAATTCTGACATTTTTTACGAATCAGCTTATATCAATTATCACCTGACCGGCCTATGTCTTCATTCGCGATAACAAATAAAACGAGCAGTCTCATAACAATAACATGCACTTAACACAGGCGATCAAAGTGAAACCTGATACCACGTGATATCATATTTTATAAATTCCAAAACATCTCTCGCGCCTAATATGTGATATCGTTTTTAAACAATTTTTTTTTCTTTTCAACAACAGAACAATGTTATTTCTCTTTGTATCGTTTGCTATCCCTAATTAATGTGATATCGTTCGCTTTTTCTCCGAAAATTCATTTTATTTGCTTCTTCTTTCTGCCTCGAAGACTGCCAAAAGATGATATTGTACCGATAACAATCGCAACGCGTCGCTCCCAGACATCTCTTCAAGGCTACACGTGGCAAAAGGTTTACGTTTGTGTCAATGACTTTCCACGGCTAACACACTAAGTGGACACATGTATCTGCGTCTCAGTGAATACGGACGCATCTGGCAAGTACGAGAAAGAGCTTTCATTATTCCCAATTCCCACGTCAATATCCACATATTTATAGAAGAAATTCAAAATATTTAACCAATAATATTATTACATATTTTTATATTTTTGACAAGAAAGAACAACTCTTCGACTGATTTTGTCTTTTTCCTTTACAGAGATAAGTTAAGACAGAGAGTAACTTTTTAATTATAGAGATTTAACTGAAGATAAAGACATTTTACAAAGAATTTACTTAAACAGTTATTTATTTGTAAATTTTTACAAAATTTAATTAAAGAAATAAAAAAAGTCCGGAAATTTTATCAATAATTTAATTACTTTTATTTAAATTCGATTAAATTCTATTGTTCCAGAATTTAATTATCTAAATATGTCATATATTAAAAATATGTTAAAAAAAAAAAAATACACAACACACAATAATCTTTCAAAAATATTTCTAAATAATCTTTTAAAAATATTTAAATATTTTTTTTCGAAAAAAATCATCGAAGAATTCTTTCTCTAAGAGAGAACTAAACTTATCGAACACCATGTATATTCGAGGACACTCGATATCGCATTCGCATCGCGGAGACACGAAATGTCACGCCCACTAGTAATTTCGATTAATACGACGATGCAACTCTTCATACCTATTGCGGAGATTTGTATTACCGGCTCTGATAACATGGTGCCGTTATCGGCCGTTTTATTCGTTATGAGAGCGCGCAACAAAAACCTTTAAGCGGAATTGCAACAATGTGGCATGCAACGCGAATATCGATCGTGCTCTTTACGTCGCGACTACGTTACACGTACAGATATACGTTTCTAAATTTAATTCTCAACTGATACTATTGGTTATGCTCTACTAAGTCTTCGGCGTTCCTCACGGACAGATTCTTTCAAAATTAAATTTATTGCGACGTGTACTAGTATATTTTTGAAAAAAAGATCCATCTCAAGTAGCGCACTATCTTTCCTTATTATTAATTTTTATTAATTATATCCGGATATTGCATTCCTGTCACAATATAAAAATATAATAAAGAAGTATATAAATATATTCATACAGAATTTTGAACAATTTTCTAATAGTGACATTGCTTGACACAATTATTTGTACTATAAATGTATTTATTTATATAAAGTACAAATATTACATCTATCTTTATCTACTTCATACGTATTTTGCGATAATGTACACGATAAACACATATTTAAATTCAGATAATTAATTGCTATTATTTAATAATAAATCTTCCTTTTTGGTTATATATTAAAGTATTAACAAAGCAATAACAAATAAAATAATGTTTATCAACTCTAAATAATTCCGATAATGAAAAATATCCATAATTTAAAGTTAACTAAATAATACAGAGAACTTCGTTAATTAATTAATTAATTTAAAGCAAAAAAGCATTTTTAGTCTCTTTTCCGGATCTAAAATTAAACAAAAGAATCTGAATAAAGTTCCATTTATAAAAAATATATAAAATTATTTAATAATAAAAACTTAAAAAGAAAAACAACGGGGATTTCTTCTCTTTGTTATTTTTTTTTTCCAAGTTAATTTTTGAAAATTTCACTGAGATTCCACAATGATTTACTTTAATGTAATGAAACGGAATTCTGCATGAATCTGAAAGGAAAAACAGGAATTTCGCTCGCGTGCGGAAGGAATTGCATAAACAAGCACGGACTGTTGTGTTTGAATTAGTTATCAGTTGTTGATTTTATTGATAACCAGTACAGCACGCGGGAGAACGTTCCGAATGTGTGCGTTAGTTTTATCCAAATTTATATACAAAAGATAGAGTCGACGTGTTTGTAAGTGGAACGGGGCTCTCGACTGCGTCGTGAAAAATATCAAAACAGTGCGGATATATGGGCCGGCTGTATTTTCACGCCGACGTTATCATGCCCGCGTGCTCCAACGATGACAGTATCGCTTGTTATACATATCGTGGAATGTTAGGTCGTATTAGACGTCAATTCCGTTCCGAATACAAGTTCTGTTAAATAACAAAATTTTTATCTTCTCATTATGAGCTCTCCGTACGAAAACTTCGCTTTTTCTTAGCTAGAAAGAAGAACGAAAGAATGCGTGAAACTAAGAGGAAAACGATGACTTTAATAAGAAAATTATATTTTCATTAAAACGATTTTAGATAAGGGACATACTTTTTGGAGAACATTAATAAATTAGTGATTTATTAAGAATAAAATTCGAATTTAATACAAATTTCTGTTTTTGTATTGATAAAAAAAAAAAAAAAAACAATAAGCTGTCAGAGAGTTTCGATAAGAAGAATTTCGTCAATTATTTAAATATTTCAAAATGTTGACCTCAGAGACAAATCTTAATTTCCGAAAAAGTCAATTATACCACGATAATGCATTTCGTTTTCCCATTTCCCGTTCGAGCGTGAGGTATAAAAGTTTATAAAGAGGTATGAAAGATGGGCTCGGGGAGTGAAAGTGGCCTTGGAAGCGCAAGTGGCAGTGCCCTTGACAGAGGATCACGGCAATCGCCGCGGCTTCGAGATAAAACGATTGTCTTCGGCACAGCCGTCTCCTCCTATCGTCCTTCTCTCGCGAATAAGAATACGCGAGTAAGAAGCCGAGCGTTAATGCACATGCAAGAGAGCCGCATAACGAACGAGTCGAGTAAGTGCATAGTACGTGCATGCACGTTTACCCGTGGCCTTCGTATCAGCTGTCTACTGGCGTCATTCAATGAGGGCCGTGCTGATCGCCGTAAACAAATACGCTGACGGACTGACGGACATTCTTTATGTCGGCGTAAATTATATATATTGCGTTATACGGCGTCTATTCGTCTCCGTTTTCCATTTTTAAACATTTTCATATTTTCATATTTTATGGCTCATTTTTATCGATCTAAATCTATAAATTTTAATACATGTCATTCCACCACGATCTAATATAAGGCAAGCGATCGCACGTACGACGTTATGATTACATCATGTAAATGCAAGTCGTTCGTACGTTCCTCATCATACTTTTCCGATCTTTCCCGGAATTGCATATAATAAAAGCATAAATACAAATCACATGGACGCGCACGTGGAAATGTTCTAAGACATAGATTAAAAGATACTTAGATTATTCATTTAAGACTATTTATTTATCTTCAAGATAAATTTACTCAAGATAATGTAACTTGGTTAGATCTCAAGAAAATTTTATCGTAACGTAATTACGTACTTTGTAATTACAAAGAAATAATGAAGAAGGAAAATCTAATTGTGATCGACACCAAGATATCACAATCTTAAACTTACAAATGATAAAAAGAAAAATCACCGAAATGATATACGTATATAAAAAATGAAAATTGTAATATATGTATTATATCGATACTTAAAACGCTGCTTTTCTTATTTTCTCTGATGTCTCTAAATTTGTTTTGTTCACAACCGATATTGTCTGTATTGACACGTGAAAGAGATTTATTATTGTAACATATTTGAGAGATACCATATAATTCTAATTATCAACAGCATTCGTCCATACAACAAGCATACGTTTTGTAAAAAAAACAGAATGTAACTATAATTAAAAACCATCAAATATTAAAACAAAAAGAAAAACAATTCCTTTGTGTGGTTCGTTGTTGTGCAAAAAAAAAAAAAGAAATAAAATAAAATCTGACTTTACCATTCTCTCGACGATGCGAGGCGAGGCACGATATTTGTATTTTTAACGCACAATCATATATACATACACATTGCACATTGTTTGTGCAAAAGCGACTCGTCTATATAGCATAATTGTGACTACGAGAAATGAAACATCACAGATATTAGCGTAGCGTGAATCTCGTAGCGTGTCGGATCTCGATTTTTAATTAAAGGAAAACGCCATTTTCCCGCGTCTGATTATTTATCATTCCGCGAAATCACGGAGTTGGAATATTACGCAAATGAGATGCAAAAATTGAGAGAGAGAGAGAGAGAGAGAGAGAGAGAGAAAGAAAGAGAGAAAATTCTGTTTCACGACTAGCTGCGCTTTTTCCGATATACAGTATCACTCCTCCGAGATTCGCATGTTGACAACAAAAGCGAGAATAAAATTTCGCGTTCTCAACATTTCGGGAAAAATCCGAGCCCCGAGAAGGAATGTGCTTGCTTAGAAGATCGTGAAACGCGCGGAAATGTTCTCTCCATTTTTGCGAGATTCACGCGATCCACGATCATACAATATCGCACCTATGTATCTCACAACAGGAACGGGGAGGAAGATTCTATTGTTATTTTTCCTAACACGCTTACATCATTATCACCTTTAATCCCGCGTGCCGCCTCCTCGAGAGGCGAGGCGCTCCGATTTTCGCGCGTGCTCTCGGAATTCGACGACGGAGAGAATATCGCCTCGGAGGAGAGACGCTTTTTGACGGAGATGATCTCCGCTATCCGCGAAAACGCGCCCCGAAACTTCCACCTCGTGGATTTTTTTCTTGGAATTTCGCGGAAAATCCCCGTCACTTGGCTTGCTCACCTCTTCGTCGTAGCGCTGGCCACATCGCCGGGTACTATCGCGACGACGTCGCCGCCGGCGGCGACGTCGTCGTCGTTCTGCGCCGTTGGCTTCTTGAGGAAGAACCGCGCGAGGACCATCGCGTCGCGCACAGCATATGGACGTACTAACGTCGAGCACAGCAGCTACACCGAGAGCGGCAGCGCGGCCGACGAGGCGAGTATCGTGTATATTAACACGTCGCACCACCGATCACGCACCACCACCGCACGGTCGTCGCGAGAGTCGAGAATCCGGAGCGCGATGCACGCACCGCATGCACGCATGCACGCACGCACGCACGCACGCACGCACGCACGAAATGTATCCCACTTAGTGGCGAGCGTGTTGAAGCACAGAGGCTACAGACAGGATTTCAAGAAAGCTACCTTTGTCGTCTCTTCCGTCTCGCTCCTTCTCTTTTCCTCTGTCTTTTCTTTCCTTCCCCCTCTCTTCTCTTCTCTTCTCTTCTCTCTCTCTCTCTTTCTCCTAGACTTATCTGCTGCCATTCTGATATCGGCACATGCTATCGACAGCGCTTGCTCGCTCGGTCGCTTGCTCGCTCGCTCGCGCGACGCAAATGCTCGAGCCAGATAACGCGACGCGCGCTATTTTGAATCCGTATAAATTTAATAATTTTTATATCCCTATTTCTTTATTTCCTTGTTGTTAATTGTTAGATCTATAGACTTTTTAATAAATGTAACGTATACATCCCAAATTGGTAAACTCAATTCTATGTCTACAGACTTGACTTCAGTACCACTTACTCTAATTTATATTTTTCCAAATAAAAAAAAAACCATACATTTAATATACGTTTATACTTGTTAATTAAAATATTCATATTGAATATTAAAGAGTTAATAATCAATAATTAATTTAAATGTAATAATTAATAATTGGGTAATAATAATTGATTAATGTTTTGCGCATAACATGCTGCTTCGAATCCGTAGAAGATAGGATCAAAGAAGCGATAAAAACGCTTGAAATCTTATTTCAGATGTAGAAATATTATTAGAGTTGATAACAGAGTTATCATAGTTGTAATTTATCTTATTTTGTTGTTGTTAAATTATCGTGTCACAGTATCGATGATGAAATATTATCGACAATTAACGCATTTCATGTCGCATTAATTTAATATTTGATGTAAAATATTAATCTTGCACTAACAATGATAATAATAATATATCAATTTATGTCAGGAAACTATTTCATGTTTACATTCTTCTTTTACAAAATATGACTTGATTTTTACATAATTTAACTTGTTAAAATGTTTTGTTTCACATTAAGTTTTTTAAATATTACATAAATGATTTCTCTCCACAAGAGCCAAATTTTGCAAGTGTAATAAAAACTTGTGTTTCAGATATTAAGACTTTTGTTTAACATATAATTATATTATGTATTATAATAAAAATATAATGTCAATTAGTTCAAATTATAACACTGGTCTATTTCAGAATCAAATTTGCACAGATATATCAATATTTAATATAAAAATATTAAATAAAATTTCATATGTATATTTTTTTTTACAAAATGTGAAGTAACCTGAAGAGAGATCCCACGCAGCACGGACCATGTTAACAATAAGGAAATAGAGAAGTAACCTGTTAGTAAATATGTGAGCCTCCGGATGAGGAGACGACAGGACCACTCCGCTCACGTCCGCGGATGTTCCCGTTTCCTCGGTTTCTAAGTTGTACATCTCGGGTTGGGCCAGGGTCTCGGTCTCAGCAGGGGTGCGCATTCTCGTCCAAGTGCCAGATTACCAAAGGATCTGAAATAAAAATGCATTTTGTTATCCTTGACCATTAACTCTTAATGCAAATCGCAATTCTCCGCGGGAATTGTTTGCCGAAATTAATAAGTGGAAAACAATTATATTATGTAAATACATTAGCTTATATAAAAAAGTAGAATGAAGCGTTTTTTCTTAATTGAGAATTATGCTCAATCAATTTGACTGTGATTGAAAAAAATTTACAAAAAGATTCTATATATTTTTATTAACGATTTGAAAAATGTTATATCAAAATTTATAATTTTAGAATTTATAATTTAAAGAAATAAATAATTATATTCCGCTGTCGACACTGTCAAACAGCCATTATTAAAAGCTCAAATACCAAAAACCTAATAATTCTAATTAAATTTTAATTTTATAAAAATATTTTTTTTTATTTGATCGTTACGTATGATGATTAAAAATTTAGTTAGGATCCAATTATGCCGATTGTTTCATTCAATACTCGATACGTTATACAGTATCTGCATGTTATATCTGCATGTTGCATCACATTGGAATGAACAAAAATGAAAAGAGAGGAGTAAGAAATCACCTTCGGCGTAATAACTACTCGAGAGAAGTAGCAGGAGGTTCGACGGAATGCCAATCTAGTAAGAGGTGTGGTATTTGTCCGCATACCTCAGCACTCGTTTTATTTTATGTTCAAATTCTTTAAGCCTCAGGCCTGACCCTCTTACTCAGGAATTTTTTGCAGCAGTTAAGATAACCATCCTCAAAGCAACAATAAAAAGATTCTGTGAGGATAAATCGAATATAATAGATAAATAAAGTTGAAAGATGCATGAAAAATTATTGTTAAATATATTGTTACAAAGCAAAAAATTTATCATATACTTTCGCTTTAGTATGAATCGGACAAAAGACTCGAAACATCATTCAACAGTTTCAGTTTGAAAATTCAAATTTCAAATTCGGATAAAAATAAACAATCGCGAACTTCAATTTCTAAAGTTCGAATTCAATTATTGAAGTAAGTTACATTAATTAAATTAAACTAATATTAATTTGGAATAACTTAATTAATCAATCTTGCATATTATTTCTTATAGTATTCGTTATAAGAAAACGTTAGCCTTTATTTATTTCGTGAATTATGATTGAAATTGAAAAAAAGATATGTTTTTTAAACTTAGGATACAAATTACCGATATGATAAGCAGGAGAATGAGTTATATGTAATATTCGACGCACGTCCCTTATGCAAAAGAAGAAAAAAAGAAACCAGGAACTCTTCTAGAATGAGTCACTCGTAGGTGCGCCCTCGATTAATCCTGCGCACCTGGATCGAAGTCTTGCCAAGTTACTTGAACCTGGCAACCCCTGAAACCGCTGTTGACTCTAGCACGCAATATCCGCGAATATCCGTTTTCAATATTACCATAAAAAAATGTTTTCTTTTTAAATTATTTGATTTTTACATAGTTCAACTAATGTTTTGTTTCATATTAAGTTTCTTAAATACATAAATGATTTCTCTCTACAAGAATCAAATTTTGCAAGTATAATAAAAACTTGTTTCAGAAATTAAACTTTTGTTTAACATATATAATTATATTATGTATTATATTATGTTTAACATATAATTATATTATGTATTATAATAAATATATAAATCGTTATCAAATTATACACACATCTACTTCAGAATTAAATTTGCACAGATACACAAATATTTAATATAAAAATATTAAATAAAATTTTTATAAGAAATTTTTAGGATGAAAAAGAACTTTAATCTGCATGCAGATTCATTTCATTTAGAAAAAATAAATACAACCTGGTTATATTTCGAAGGGTTGCCAATTTTCTCTGAGAAACATAAATTTTAATGAGAAGGGTGTACACCCTCCGGTCTAATTCTATGCACCCTGTACGTAAATTGCGACTTTAATCAGATATAACTCACATGTAGCCATCTGACAAAAATAACAAATAGTGGTATCGCATATGTTAGTCCGTTACTTGTCTATAATTATGTTATACCTTTTTTAAAAAAAGGAATGGAAATTAGAGATGTCAATATATTTTTCGCGTATAAATTTTATATTTTAATTAATTACAAAATAATTAACTTTATTGTTTATATTAATGAAATGATGATAAAAAACTGATGATAACTTAAAAATAACGATAATAAGAAAGAGCATAAAAAAATTAGTGTATTAAATTTTTATGAAAAATAAAATGATAATTATAATCCGCAATTTTATTTTGAGAATCACTGACTGTCTGCTGTCGAGGATCAGAACTATTTGGGTAAAGATAAAATACAATAGATAATTTTTCAATAAATGCGTTCAATAAGATACGTACCTTTTCAGAAGCTAAACTACACTATACAAATACGGAAAGTTAACAAACCTTTATTTAACTTAGAGTATATCTTATACAAATCTGACAATTTGGAGGTTCAAGCTTATTTAACATGAAAAAGCGAAAATTAGTTTTACAGATAAAGATAACTTTCCAAAGATTATTTCTAAAGAAAATCCTATCCAAAGAATTCATAAAGGAAAAATACATCGCTGCCTGCGACATTCTGTGTGACAACGTTCTTTACGAGATCCCGCATAAATATCCGAATCCATTTTCTCCATTCTCTACCTCACGGTCTATCCTGCAAACATTACCTTTATGGGTAACACGACGTAAAAACGATTAGGAGACACTGTCCGAGAGGAAGTGCAGGCTCGTGCAAAACGTCGCATGTGCGGATTGACCTGCGCATACAAAAGGGAGTCTATTCTCACCGGGACCGCACCAGCCCGGCTCCTCAGGGCTGACAAAAGTGACGAGGGTGGAGAAAATGAAAATCCATTTCCAATGTCGTTAAATAGATGTAATGCCGCGAGCGTGAACGGTTGCTCGCCGAAACCGCTTTCGTGCGTCATTCGCACGAACACGCAGTAGGCCGGTTTGTTACTTACGATTCTTGATCGACCAAGCAAGTTTTCTTTTTCTTTTCTTTACTCTGTTAATTACAGTCCGTTTTCTTTTATGGGTAAAACCTGATTAGAAATTTCATACACGTAGCTTTGTTGTATGATTTTTGACGTCACGGGATTTTCAGAAAGTATTTTTAAAAAATATCAAAAAGAAAATTAGATATTTTATATTACTGGATTTGTACTCATTTCGCTTCAAATAAATATCGTTTTGATATTGGCTCGTTAATAATTGAATTTATCGACGGATATCGGATATTGATAAGAATAATAAATAAAATAAAAACCGAAACCAAAAAGATATTATCATAGTGAGCGTATTAAAAAGAATTTAAAAAGTATTTTTTAAAAAAGAAATGTTGAATTCATTGCACGTACAATCGTGCTCCGATCTTGCATTGACCTTGACTTATCGCGTTATCTTTGACTATATCGACTTATCTATTCTAAATTCTAATAAATCGAAAATAAATTTAAAATAAATTGAAATTAAATATATATTTAATAATTAGATAGAACTATTTAACAAGATTTAACAAGATTATACATTTATTCTTTTCTATAAGAAATAAAATAAACGTAATATTACAAGAAAGATTAAAATATTTTTCGTTTTGATAAATATTTATTTAAAAAAATAAATATTTATACATA